CCACCACCGGACATTCCTGTCTTCCTTCCTTCCCACCCACTTGCACGCCTCCCACCTGCTTGCGTGTCTCGGCGTTTATCTGCTCACAAGCACAGCCACTGTCCGTGCTCACAGCTGCCTGCAGACCTTTCCCCAGTGGCACCAGCCAGTGCCTGCAGCAGAAGGCATGGATGATGGAGCACTGGCAAGTGAACTGGCAGAAGGTACTGGTAGCAGTGGGCCCAGCCAGAAAACCCGGGGCCCAGCAGCTGCCTCCCCCCGGGGCATGTTGACGCTCGCCCTACCTTTAATGACTAATGGTTTAGGTGGCAGTTGGAGCTGCGGTGGCTCAAGTGGTTAAGACGCTGAACTGCAGGCTGTGGAAGGTCAGTAGTTCAGCAGTTCGAAGACCCGAGTGTGCCGCATGACGGAGTGAGCTCCCGTCTCTAGTTCCAGCTCCTGCCAACCTAGCAGTTCGAAAGCAAGAAATTGCAAGTAGATAAATAGGTACCACTTCAGTGGGAAGGTAACAGCGTTCCGTGTGCCTTGGTTGTTTAGTCATGCTGGCCACATGACCACGGAAACGTCTTCGGACAGTGCTGGCTCTTCGGCTTTGAAACGGAGATGAGCACCGCAACCCTAGAGTCGGATTCGACTGGCTTTTGAGCAAGGGAAACTTTACCTTTACCTTTACCTATGTGGCAGTTGGAGATATTGGGGGACTTATTGCTACGGAGTTTATTCGCCTTAACCCTGCTTTGCCTGTCAATGGTCTTTCTGTTTTATCACCTTCCACAAAAATAACAGCAATTTAAAAAAAAATTCTGTATGTGATCTCTATATATCACCATATCTCTATATTTGCTGCTAAAAACCTGCCTCGCTTGATATATTACTCTTTGGATGTGTCACTCCTTTGGCTCCATCTTAGTGAGCAATTTCCTTATCGATGGGAGGAAACAATGGAGAGGACAGTTTCCCTGCTCTTGTCAGCCTCTTTATGCAAATATAATGCAACTCCTTACTTCTCTCCACCCATCTTGGAGGGCCAAAAAAGAGAAATGAGTTGGCAAAAAATGTGTGGGGTGTGTAATATGTAACAAGGCCCGCAAGATGACATCTTGCTTGCTAGATATGTGTCGGATGCCAAAAATGACAGCTTTATATCTAATCCCTTCTCCTCTACCTGTAAAAAAATTGTAGTTTGTGTCACTCCATTACTGTGTCTCTTGTCTTTTAAATGCTCACTGAAACCATGCTCCATTTTGTGGGCTTCATTTAGGGTAACACTGATTTTTTTAAAAAAATTGCTGTTTATTATTTTAAAATTGCTGTTGTTGGTTTAATTTGCTTTAGTGTCTTACTGGACTTTCACGGTTTTATGATCTTGCTAAACCATCTTGAGCTGTTTCATAGAATCATAGAAAGTTAGAGTTGGAAGGGACCTTGCAGGTCATCTAGTCCAACCCTCTGCACTCTGCAGGAGCATAGCCGAAAGATAGCCCCACAACATACCTGAAAGGATTGGTGGAAGGATGGAGAAGTAATGTCTCTAATCAACAATACGTAACATCTAACATAGGGGCTCAGCAAACTTTTATCTCTGAAGAGCCAAACAGTGTCAAAGTTCAGAGGGAGAGATCAACAAAGAGCCAGTATAAGAAAGCCCATGTGTATACCTGAAGCGATACAATTTAATATTATCAATAACTGATATGTGGATTAATAATCCATAAAAATTCTGCAGCCCAAACACTGGTAGTTGTAAATCAGTCCTTTTTTAAGGAGGCGGCGCACCCAAGGTCTCACAATAAAGAGTAAATACATCCGTACATCATAAATACACCCTGTAAAATTGTTTTAGTGTGCTGGCATAGATAAGTGCACGGTTCACACACGGATTACCAGCAACGGTTCAACTCTTATCATTTCCTGTGCGGAAAAACATTCTCAAGAAGTCCTTGGGTGGTGGAAAGTTCCGTTGAGTCACAGCCGACTTATGGCAACCCCTCATGGGGTTTTCAAGGCAAGAGACATTCAGAGATGGTTTGCCACTGCCCGGCTTTGTGTAGTGACCCTGGACTTCCTTGGTGGTCTCCCATCCAAGATTATAATGCCATAGAGTCCACCCACTGAAGCAGACATTTTCCCTGGGGGGTGGGGTGGGACTGATCTCTGTTGCCTGGAGATTTCCGGGCCCCACCTGGAGTCTGGCAGTCCTAATGGTAGACGTCTCTGTGCAGAGGGAGAATAGAGTGATGCCTAAAAGGAAATCCTTCATGTTCAGCCCCTCCGATCGCAATCTGCCCAAGTTTTAGCTGATTTGCCTGTGACTCGAATCGTGCCGCCCTCGTTTTGATATCTGTTGAACCCTTTGCCGAGGGGTCAGAAAGGGGGCTTTTAACGCTGCAAGAGGAGAGCACAAAAATCCCCTTTCAAGACGACGACTTCCCTTAGGCCAGCCAAGAAGAAGAGTTGGTTTTATACCCTGCCCTTCACTGCCCGAAGGAGTTTCGGAGCGGTTTACAATCTCCTTCCTCTCCCCACAACGGACACCTGGTGAGGTAGGTGGGGCTAAGAAAGCTCTGAGAGAAGAAGAAGAAGAGGAGGAGGAGATTGGATTTATACCCCACCCTTCACTACCCAAAGGAGTCTCAGAGTGGCTTACAAACTCCTTTCCCTTCCCCTCCCCACAACAGACACCCTGTGGGGTAGGTGGGGCTGAGAGAGCTCTCGACAGAAACTGCTCTTTTTCAAGAACAGCTGTGCCAGAACTACGGCTTGCCCAAGGTCATCCAGCAGGTGCAAGTGGAGGAGTGGGGAATCAAACTCGGGTCTCCCAGATTTAGGGTTGCCAGGTCTGGGTTGGAAAATACCTGGAGACTTTGGGGGTGGATCCAGGAGAGGGTGGGGTTTGGGGAGGGGAGGGGCCTCAGCAGGGTACAATGCCATAGAGTCCACCCTTCAAAGCAGCCATTTTCTCCAGGGGAGCGGATCTCTGTCAGCTGAGGATCAGTTGTAAAAGCAGGAGATCCCCAGGCCCCACCTGGAGGCTGGCAACCCTACCCAGATTAGAGCCTGCGCACTTACCACTACACCAAACTGGCTGTGACTGACCCAAGGTCACCCAGCAGGCTTCACGTGGAGGAGTGGGGAATCAAACCCGGTTCTCCAGATTAGAGTCCACTACTCTTAACCACTACACTAAACAAGGGCAACAATTAATTTATATGAGGTTGTCATCTGGAGGCTGGGAGCCCTATGGCCTGTTCACAAGTTACAATGAACACACGTACAATCTGGGCTCTTGATTGTTTTTTGTATGCACATCGAGTCATTCTCACGTTACATCCCATGCACCTACAGCTAAAGGTGTGATACAAACCCTACATTTATCCAGGGATGAGCCCCGCTTTC